ATAAGTGCATCAAGGGTCTTTCATTCTCTCCTCAGTAAATTATGGTAATGCTTTGTTCTCTACGATGTTAGGGTAGTTACACTTTCTTTGTGTACTAGAAAAGGACATTTTAAACCAAGAAACCTAAATATGAATGTTGAAAAGAGAGCAGGATACTGAAGATGATGCTGTGATGAATAGTAGCATACAGTTAAATAATGTGCATTTTCATATACATTTTATACCCAAATCTCATAGAAACTGGACAGTGTGATTAGATCAGATATTTGCATGCAATTTACATAGGCAAAATCTGAAATTTAATGAGGTTCAGTGATGTGCAAAAATTCCTTGTTAAGTTTCTAAATGAAGACAATGACCTGGGTCCTCAGACACTGAATTGCCAGGCAGGCTTCCCCAAGATCCTGTCAACACTGCTTTCTGCTTTGAAAGTAAATATAGATTTTGTTTTTCTGTCTTTAAATTTTTCATACATGTGTAAAATGTGTCTATATCTCAAACTACCAATAGCCAGGATTTTATATAAATAAAATAGAGCAATTACTTTGTGGAATTGTTCAGACATAAACAGAAATTTAGATTCTGGAACATAAACAGAAATTCCATTACTAAGCTTCCCATTGAAGAAGAAATAACTGTAATTATGTTTAGCACAATAACTTTTTTTTTCCAAAATCATGGCAAGTGCCATGCTTCTGGCTTGTCAACTAATGGATGTCTGCCATCTGAATGTCATTTTAACAATAATTGCAATGTGGAAATATTAGTTTCTAGTATGGTCTACTTTATGGAATTAGTAACAAATCAGCAGTTAGATACAGTCACATTTAAAAAATCTTTACTCTAAAAACTAATAATTAGGGGAAATTAGCCTGAGAATTTCATTCCTGCTTACCTTCGACTCCTTTGCCAATGTGTCCCCCACTTTTCTATGACCACAGCCATAATTCCCGATTATCTTCTTTTCTTTCGAACTGATTTTGTAAAAATGTTTTAGAGAAGAGGATATTTAAAGGGGTCTTTTAGCTCACATTCACACCCACAGTTGTGGAACTAAAACAGTATCACCCTCATATCTCTGTATTAAAGGACCATGTATCTATACTGAAAATACTGGGTCATCTCAAATCTGCACAGGGAACCATTGGCGTTGACAGCACTGATCCACAAACCTGTGTTCCTGGCTCTCTTTGGAACTAGATGGAAATTCTAATAAATGTTGCAGGCAATTAAAAACTTGAAACATTGTTAGCAACAACAATCATAGGCACTTAACAGTGGAGTGTCACATGCCTGGCAGAAGTACCTTGCTGCCTATAGCTTTCTCAGTGTCTGCCCCTCTGAACTGAAGCACAGGGCAAATTGCAAGCAAATCCTTGATCTCCTCCCTGTGTAGCTGTTCACTGTGCCTCTTAAAGAAACATCAACTCAGACAACTTTTAGAGCATGCCTCCTTCAGTAACCGACCTCCATTTTAAACGCATCATTAGCTGGCGAAAATGCAATGTTACAGCTTGTGATTTCTGGAAACAAAGATGTGATGGGTCATGGGGTGTCATAATTACTGTTCTATTGCTGTGAAGAGACACCGTGACCAAGGCAAATTACAGATGGAAGCATTTATTTGGGGACTTGTATAGTTTCAGAAGATTAGTACATTAACATGGTGTGGCCTCCCAGGCTCCCAGCAGGAAGGTATGGTACTAGAGAAAGTAGTAGCAGAAAACTTTACAGCCTCACTTGCAGGCAGAGAGAGAGAGCAGGGAGGGCAAGGATTGTGGATGTCAAGGGAGGTCCTGTGGAAGTTCTGGTAATGAAATCAGGGCTTGCTTCCACCATGGAATGAATGAATATCTAAATATGTGTCTTCCATTGTTTCTGCATCTTAGCCTCCTCCCATGGTATTCATTCCACAGGCTGCTTCCCAGGCCCTGCTCTAGGTCATCAGAGCAAAGAGAACACTGATGGCAAAGTCTCATACCCAAGGGATTTCAGTTGGTTCCATTTCAACAGCCTCTGCCATGGACTCCATGGGGGTTGCTCTATGTTCATATTTTAGCTTGCTATCTTTTCACATTCTAAGTTTACATTTCGTTAATCATTCCAGTACCCTCTCTAGCTGACACGATGGTGGCCTAGAAAACAATCATGTTTTACCTAACCTAACTGTTGATCAAAATGTGTGAGTACATGAATGAAGCAAAGGCAACTATCAATCCAAAGGAAATGCTCATTAGATGCTGGCGGGGAAATCATTAATACTTGAATCATTTCAGGGAAAGCAATCAGATTCCTGATTAATGCAAGCAGTGTGCGTGTACAATCCTGAACAAAATGGGGTTTTCCTGATCTAGCTTCCTCCCTCTTCTCTAAGGACGTAAGGGAGAAAGGGACCTATAAATAGCTCCATCACTGTAGTCTCCAGAGCTGAGAAATTCATTCAGGCGACTCTCAGCTCAGCTGGTTCATTTCTCTGAGCTCCGGCACTAAGGGCTGTGATGATTACTTTAAAAAAATTGTAGGGGGGGGTTTGTTGCATTCAATATAACATGAAACTGTAGTTTTTACTTACGAATTGTATGAGTTATTTCTATTCAAATGTAAAACTAGCCATTGCTTTAAGTGATGCAAACATGTTCATGTTACCCTAACTGCAACCTCAGCAAGCCATCCACTGACTGCATTCTCCATCTTTCACTGAGGCTGAACATCCTAGCCATGTGCACAAATACTTCAAGATCTTGGTTCAATTGCTATTTGGCTGGGCTTATACAGAAACACTATGAAAATCTATGTAATCACCTCCTTTTACAGACTGCAAGGTGTGTTATTTACCAGGTACCAAAAGACAAAATCAGGGCTGGGAGGAGGGGTATCCTACCACAGAGTAAACCAAATCATGCACTAAACAAGTCAGTGTGAGGTTTCACCACTGCCATCATTTTCTGTGACAGAAAGAGCTGTGCTAATTAGGTCATGCTTTCACAAACTAATTTTCATTAATATGTGAGGTAAATGTTATAGTATTGCCATCTTAGCAAATATAGAAATAGAGGCTTAGAAAGAGTGAGTGGCTTGGTCTTCAATCCAGTCATTCATTCAGGTAGCTGTTTCATTAGGATGGCAGCTCTGGTCCAAAGCCTGGACAGGCTGCTGTCAGGGTTGATGTGCTAACTCGGTATAAGTCATTTCTCCCTCCTCTCTCTCTCTCTCTCTCTCTCTCTCTCTCTCTCTCTCTCCCTCTCTCTCTCTCTCTCTAGAATGAATTGAACAAACACAATATCACTACCAACTATGTTTCATAGGTCAAGGATCTGATTTAGTTCTTATTTCTTCATTATGACAGGTTATGGTACATTTACATACATACACATGATCTTGTCTCTTTTTTAAATAAAATAGGAATGTTTTATAATATATCTGTAATTTCTTAACCTGTATCATATATTAGCACATCCTATCTTGAGATATGGATAAATAACCTGGATCTAAGTATAATTATGTTAGAGAACACCCTGATGTCCCCATATTTTGATCTAGCCAACAATGTTTCTATAAGCAACTTTGTTAATGCATTTATTTACATGTGTACATGTGTGCACATACATACACACATGTAATAGACATATCTATATTTGTGTATCTATAGATATATGTAAAGAAAGAGAATCAGAAACTTGAAGTAGTCACTGGACTCTATTCCCACTGACAGATGGGAAAAATAGGAAGGCTGGCCAAGTAGACAGACATAAATAAGCACAACCTGCTGTGAGCTGCTTTACTGTTCCCTCATCCACTGATATGCAAGAGAGCATCCACCTCCCATCTCCTCTTTTGACCCTCATCCACTCATGTGCAAGAGAGCATCCACCTCCCATCTCCTCTTTTGACTCTCGTCCACTGGCAGTACAGGAGAGCATCCACCTTCCTACTCTTCTCTTGACTCTCATCCACTGACAGTGCAGGAGAGCATCTACCTTGCTTTCCCCTCTATTGATCTAGCTGTTACTGTGATTTTTAGTTTTCTTTAATACGTTAGGTGGAAAAAATATTTTTTTGCATATCCTCACTAGAAAGGTTCAAAGACAGTAAACCAGAGATATATATTTTACTTTCTATAAAATATTGATGATTTCATTTGTCTTTCTCTTGCTCTTTGCTTTTATTTACTATTTATTTCATGGCATTAAGTCCATGCATTGTGTCAAGACATTAGAACATCTGAGATTTTCACCCAATTTGGAAGTCTACTATTGATGTATGGATGGTGGCTAAATATGACAGATTCCTTGGTCAGAACCAGTGGGCATTATTTAGCACACCACAGAAAACATAGTGGGCATTATTATGTTTGTGTCAGTTCTTCTGACAACCAAGTCTAATAGAGAGGTCAGACTGGATCCAGCTGTATGTGAAAATGCAGAGGCTTATGCTACAGGGAGGAAAACCCAAGTGTATATGCTAGGTAGGAGGAATCTTGTCTTCTGATCCTAATAATATCTGTATATTGAAAGTCCATTTTTTGCCTATGCCTTCCTCAAGAGAAAAGTCCAAAACAAAGAGAACTTAATGCCTTACTCTTAAAACATGCAGTGACACAAAGTACTCATCATGCTGATCATGATCATCTCCCAGCATTTTAATTTAGTTCATTGCATCTGCTTTCTCCAATCACTACTTACAAAATGTTCATATTGTGTCATTGCTTATCTGTTTTTTATGGTCCTTGATTGGACATGCATGTTATTCATATATTAAATTCAAATAACATGGAAATTTACCTTAAGTATAGATACAAGCTATTGCTTTGCCCCTGGTCAAAATGAGGAGAGATACTGTCTAATAGATTTATGAATATATGTATGCCATATTTCTCTTGTGCTTTCATCCTGGTATGTGAAGGCTGAAAAGCATGGAAAGGAAAAGAAACAGGGACTTCTTCCCACCAAAATAAAACTGAAAACTCCTAAATCTTTTCTATCAATTTTTTGTCTGTTCAGAGAGTTGGAAGTAGATCCCTGCACAGAGAAAGAGACAAGCTGGGGACAAGTCTATTGGGGCTTCTGTGAGGCTTGGATAGCCAGACACCTTGGAGAACAAGAAGACAAAGTGCTTGAGGTATAAGAATACAAGATTTTATATCCAATGTTGCTAGGCTCGCCCCAGGCGGGCCCTTAAAGATCCCAAACTGAAACTTTAGCTACACTTTCGTATAACAGCTGGTTTTTACGTCATCTTGACACAACTTATAGTCATCTGAGAGGAGGGAGCCTTATCCAAGACAATGCCTCCATAAGATGATGCTGCAGGTAAGCCTGTGGAGCAATGATTTTCAACATGTGGGTCATGACCACTTTGGAGTCAAACAACCCTTTCGCAGAAATAGCCCAAGACCATCAGAAACCATGGATATTTACTTTCTAATTCATAACCATAGAAAAATTAGTTAAGAAGTAGCAATGGGAAAATAATTTTGTGGACGGGTGTCACCACAACAGGAAGAACTGTATTAAAGGGCCAAAACGTCAGGAAGGTTGAGAACTACTACTGTAGAGTGTGTGGGAGCGCCGGGTTCATTTTGACTGGTGCCATTCCTAGGCTGATGGCATTGGGTTCTAGAAGAAAGCCATGAGGTGTAAGCCAGTAAGCAGCACCCCTCCATGGCCTCAACATCAGCTCCTCTCTCCAGGTTCCTGCCCTGTTTGAGTTCCTGTCCTGAGTTTCTTCGGTGATGGAAAGTGCTGTGAAAGCATAAGCCAAATAAACTCTTTCTTCCCCAAGTTGTGTTGGTCATGGTGATTCATCACAGCAATGGTAACCTTACGTAGAAAATTTAACATCACAAGCAGTGTGCTCTTCCTGTTAGAGGATGCAGAGGAAAATACAGAGACACAGCATAATTCCATGGTTTGAATTAAATAGACGCCATAGGTTCATACTATGTTTGAATGCTTGGTTCCTAGTTGGTAGAACTATTTGAGAAGGAGCCCAGCAGTGGTGGTGCTCACCTTTAATCCTAGCACTTGGAAGGCAGAGGTGAGAAGGATTAAGAGGTGTGTCTCATGGAGCAGGCTTTGCGGTTTGAAAATCCTATGCTAGGCCAAGTTAGCTCTCTCTGCCTCCTACTTTCAGATTAGATATGAGCCCTCTCCTAGATGGAGCCATGCCTGACTGCTGCCATGCTCTCTGCCATGATGATCATGAACTCTATCCACTGGAGTCATGAGGCCTTTAGTAAGCACTTTCTTTAATAAGCTGCCATGGTGCCTTAATAGCAGCAATAGAAAAGCAACTAAGACCATAAATAGTATCAAGATTTTGCTGTTGTATTCCACAGTACTCCTTTATTAAACTCAGCAACATCTGCAGTATTCCATAGACCTGTCCTTCCAGCCCTTGGATTATTCTGGGCTTTAATCCAAGAAAACAATTTTCAATCGATTGTATCACTGAATACAGAAATGATCACACTTGATTCAGCGCAACTACTTTAGTACTGCAAGGGATGGGGCTGGGCACAATAACCAGCATATTCATCTGCTAGGTGCCCTTCTGTGACCTCTCAATCATTAAAGGGATGAAATATGCTCTAAATAAATCTGGAAGGTTAAGAAGTCAAAGGGTGACTGAAGCATCTTGATAAGGGACTGAATTTGGGAAGGCACAGTTGACTTAACAGTGTGTGAGGCAGTCCAGGCCTGGGATTTTATTAGGGGAGTCTATACCTATTCACAGTGGTCAACAGTAAAGCAGCAGGCACATTCCTGAGCAAGCTCTGTTCAAGTTCAGAAGGAAAGATGCTAGACACATTCTGGGCATGCTTAGAACAACTTAATTGAGCACATGTTGAAAAGGTTAAAATGGTGGGCTTTGGCATCTCTGGGGATATTCAGCTTATAGCATAAAGATTTAGTTAGCAGAAAGCAATAGAAAGGTCACTTTGATAGTCCATTAATGTAAGAAATTGCTCCTAAAAATACTTGCCTTGCTTTGCAGCTTACACAAGGAGCATCACATGTCCCTCCATGGTTTGGAAAGGTGAGAGGCTATTGAAGGAGGGGTGCTAGTTGGTACCATGCACCAAGGCATTTCTCATCTTCCCTGAATTCCAAGCGCCTGCATTTCATGTATTTGTTTCCATTTTGTTCTCATCATCTCAGCCAAAGTCAGGACACAAGTGACAGATTTGACAGGGCAGAAGATCTAATGTTATAAAATAACAGAACACTTCAGCTTATTCTCTGACATGCCTCCTTCCACGGATCTTCATACCTCTCGGTCCTGAAAAAAGGAATCACACAATCTTGATTTTTGCCTATGAAATGTCAACAGATTCCTGACAGATGTACTCAGGGAAAGAATGTGAGCCAGAGACTTGCTGTAATTGATTTCTGTGTCGGAAAAGTGCATCGTCCTACCTAGTCTGCTTAATATCATTGGGAAAAGTGTTTTAAAATTTTGCATTTACATACCTGTGCCTTGTTTCATGCTATGGATAAAGTAAGCACCTGTCGAGGAAAGGGTACATTCCATATCTTATTGATCTTGACATATTCAATAGCGTTTCTTGAGTTTCTAGTAAAAGGAAACTGTATAAAATGTTCATAAGCTCACACTATTATTATCATAGATCCCATCATGTCCTGTAGTCCTAAAATTCCTGAGTTATCAGAGGTTCTGTAGAAACTTGCTACAAATGTTTCTATCAGAGAATTCCCATGGCTTTCAGATCTTCTCTGTACCCTGGCCACTGCTTGTCAGTGGGATAACAGCTAATAATGGAGAAAGCAAAGCAATTTCAAGTCTCTACAAATTGAGACCAAAAAATAAAAAAAAAAAGTTAGAAAACATAAATAGGGTCACATCCAGATTCCATCTACCACAGAGCTGCATTTCATAGACCTCTTATACCAAATGATACAAAACCACAAATACACAATTTAATACAAAATATTTACTTATAGCATCACAAGAATCGCAAAAGAATCATGAAAATGGTAAATTGTAAGGGCTGAGAAAAAGCACAAACAGAATTGTAAATGTATTACATATAATCTAAAAAATCATTTCTCTGAGATGTTGAACTATATATTCTTTTGTTACCTCTTCAGGAGACCATGATTTTATAATAACATTTTCCACCAAAAAAAAAAGCATAATGGCAGTTGCCTCTCTTCTGGAGTAGTAAATTGAAATGTATTTTCATTATTGATAATTGAGATGCAACAATGGTGGTGGTGGTTTCTCACATTTCCATATATTCTCTTTGTACTGCTGCCTCAGGTTTGCACCTTCCTACCAGGAATTCTAATAAATCCCATTATCTCTTAAAATATGATATGCATAATACATTTGTAATTGTATGTATTCATTATTAAGACTATTCTTGACAGGAGAGCACTTCTGATTAGATCTGATGTAAATGAGACCAGATTCCAGTGCTTAAAATTTTACACCTCTGCTACTTGAAATAATTCATCCCAGACTACTTCTGGCTTTATATATTTTCACTCTCCATATTCATCAGCTTACACATAGGTGTGACCTGTGACCTCTAGCCTTTTACCTCTCTGCTGAAATACCAGGTAACTCCACAAATTTTTAGGAGCAAATCTTGAGTTACCTATGTGTGATGTGACAGGAATTTCAAAAGTCTGTCTCCTAAGCCATAAGCAATGAAAGGTCACTGTTAGATGGTCACTCTTAGCTGTTACCTTGTAGATAGTATCAATCACACTTTCCATTCTCTCTAGTCATTTCTCTAAGTTGATGAGGTCCAGCAGGTAGCCCCAAGCTAGGGTATTGCCATAGAACTAGCTTCCTAAATTCCAGACTAACATCCTATGTAGTACCTTCACTAATCTGCTAAACTCAGAGAAATTCTCTAAACTCAGATAGCTCTCCCCTATAAAGACTATAAATCTAAGAAATTCCCTTTTTTCTGTGGGCTGCTGTTCAATTGCCTATCTCACTTTTTCCACTGTCCAAGTGGCAGGCACTATTAAAAGACCTGGTTGCCTGAAATACACCTTGGCACTTATCTATAGAATCAACTTTTTAAAAAATTTTTTATCTAAATTAGAAAGGAAATTGTTTTACATGCCAATCCCAGTTCCCTCTCCCTTCCCTTCTCCCCTGACCCCACTAACTCCCTATCCCATCCCCTTTCTGCACCCCAGGGAGGGTGAGGCCTTCCATGGGGGATCTTCAGAGTCTGTCATATCCTTTAGAGCAGGGCCTAGGCCCTAGCCCTGGGTGTCTAGGCTGACACCAACTAACAATCTAACCAAAAGTGGAGAGGCTACCTTAAATGCCCTTCCCTGATAATAAGATTGATGACTACCTTATATGCCATCCTAGAGCCTTCATCCAGCAGCTGATGGAAGTAGAATCAACCTGTATAGCCTGTTCTTTCCATACCTAAATACTGGTGCCAAAACCTGGGCATAAGCCTAAGAGTGAAAGGCCTATCAGAACCTTGCCAGTAAGACCCTAGCCCAGAAGGTCCCCAAAGTAAGTATATCTCATACTCTACTTCCCCTCAGCTTTATCCCCAAATTCCCATAGCTATTATTGAAGGATCTACCACAAAATAAGAGTCTTAATGGGTATGGCTAAAATTCTTTTCTTTGCAAACCTGAAACCATACCAGCATGTCAACACAACACCAAGGCCCTCATTAGCCTTTGTAAGTAGCCTGAGTAAGAGTCCAGTGATTAGATCAATTAGCCTTTCATGAAGTCTTTCATGGAATTAAGGGGATGTCTTACATCTCAGAAGACTGTCAATTATAGCTTAGTGACAGCCAGGTTAGTGACAGGCTAGTGACAGCCAGGTTAGTGACAGCCAGTTTAGTGACAGTCAGGTTAGTGACAGATTAGTGCCATCCAGGTCACACTTCTCCAAGCTAGACCAAAAATCATGGCTGAAGACAAGCAGATACAACAAAAGGAAATTTAGGCAGGAAAAGAGAATAGCAGACTAGGAATCCTGAAGAAGTTCAGGAATTCAGGATTCTAGAGTAAAAGCAAAGAAAAAAAATGTAACTAACTAAAGCTGCCTTCTCTACTTGTTCCTGCTTTCCTAACATGCAGACATTTTATAAACTCACTCAGCAGAAAATTCCCAGTATAAAAATCATCCATTCCAAGAACATGAAAATGTGGCCAACACTGGTGTTGGGTCTAAATTGCTCGATGATGGCATAGGCATCAGGGATTTCTAGTTGGTAGTCTTATCTAGAATTTCGAACTCTCTTCCAAAGGAGTTTCTTTAACAGTTACTCACTGAGGAAGAATGAATCTGCCTGGGTCACTGGTGCTTGCATCTTGCTGGTGGTTATGACAATATGCTCACAATCTTCAAATGTTTCTTTGGGAGATTATCAGACTTATTATTTTAACTTGGAAATGTAAAGCAACAAGGGAAGGAGGGAATAAGAGGGAATATTAGGATTGCTAGCTAAAATAAACCATGTTCCCCCTCCTCAACTTGAGAAGAAGAAGCCTGGCAGTTACAGAAAAACATTCCTGTACTTTTCTTTCAACCTCTAATTTGTTTTCTAAAAATGAGGCAGAGGAGAAAACATGAATATCACATAGACTTCTGATACCCAGAAAAGCATCTAGTACTTACACAGTATCTCTTTTCTGGAAAAAATAAAACCTGTAAAATGTACATGTTTCAGATTCTCATCTGTTTGCTATTCCTAGGTAGCAAACAGAACTACAAAATAGCTGCTCAAAGAGTTATCATAGGTCTCACTTGTTGGAATTAGCAA